TGTTTTTAGCCATTTGCAGTAAAACCACATTGGAATACATTTGCTAAAGTCCCCAGTGTGCACCAGACAAATACATGAATGAAAGAATAAGGTTAAAAAGATTAAAATAAACACAATTATCACTGTGAAATCGATCAAACTAAAACAGTTTCACTTAAATGCTCTTTTTAAACTGATTGCAGCGTGTGGAAAGAAGCTGTTAGCAAAACAAATGATATCTTCTGCCAGAGGGAAGAAGCTGGAACATGGCTTTTCCAGGAGCCAAAAGAGTCATTAGTTATTCTAAGAATGGTTTACTCCCATAAATACATAAAAAATATCCATCCATCCATTTTCTTCCCCTTAATCCACTTCTGGGAAGGTCACAGTTGGTTCCTTGTGGATTCATATAGTTATGTCACTACACTGCAAAAAATGACAACATCTAAGGTAATAAATGCTTCAGTCAAGGGTTTTTATCTTAGTTTGAGTATATTCTGACTGTCTTAAAACCAGATTTACCGGAACATGCCATTCGGTCTTATGTCAGGTGCTGCTGCAATATATTTATAATTCCAATGGAAGACATTTCTTGAATTTTCTTGTGTCTTTTATTGTTTTTAGCGCAGTCAAAATGTGCTCAAATGAAGATAAAAAACACTTGATTTAAGCATTTATTTCAATTCTTTTTTTTATATTTTTGCAGTGTACAGTTTGAGGCAGTGAAATTCTAGTCAAAGCATTTTTCCTTAACCCTTTAATGTTCACTCCTTTCTTTCATTTATTTTCTAAGATAATAACATAAATAATTAGTTTTTTTATTCCAGGTTTTGTAATTCTAGGCTTTTACCAAAATGGTTGAGATGCGGCTTTATGGTGAAAGAGCCTTAAACCAAGTGATAGAGATGCCCCGAGGAGGCAGATGCTGATATTTTATGTACTTCTGATTATTTTGCTTTGTTTTGTTGTTTGTGGTTTTGTATTTTAATCTGTAGCACTTTGAGGTCTCCTGGAAATGTAAGGTGCACTATAAATAAAATGTGTTATTATGCAATATGGGTCAGTGTAATATTAGGACAGTCAGGGCATGTGCAATACTCGGGTTTGTGCAATACAGATGATGTGTTTCCGTTACTGTTTTCTACATTGTGCTTTGTTGTCTTGTTGCTTGTTCTAACGTGATGCGATAACTGCAAGCCCCGGTGATCCAAGATGGCGTCCTGTTCAAATGAATGGCTTGTGCTCAGTGGTTCATGGGACTTCACGGAGACCGGGAGATTAGCAGAACTCGCCTGTATTTGGGCATTGTCTGGTCCTCCCGGTTCTGTGCAGTGGACGAGCTCCCATGATGCATTGGGCCAAATACGCGTGTGTGGCTCTCATGCACGTGCACAGAGGGGCTCGGCCGCGCTTTGACCAATCAGAGCTGATCAGCGCAGCAGCAGAGCGGAGTCAAAGGAAGGGAAGGAGCAGAGTTTGTGGCAGTAAAGTGTGGATTTAAAGAAAACAGAAGGATTTAAGAAGAAAAAAAGTTCAGGACGACAAGGGACACTAAAATCCCCACAAAATACGATCTTTATGAAAGCTGTAGGTTCTCTGTCAGGTTCTCTGTCAGCTGAGGTCGAGCTGTTTTAATTTACATTGAGATCTATGGGACTTTTTTCTGTGTAGCCCACGTGATTTTAGTCTGCAGTACCACAGCGCCCCCTGTGGCCGTGGGTGGGACAGCTCTAATTACTAGCAATACCCTATCCAGTTTTTATTATAGATCCATGGATAACTGTCCTTGTTCTCTCTGTATGTTTTTACTTGTGTTGTAACACCGACCTGCCAGGGGCTCTGCAGATTTATCCTAAAATTATAATCTGACATATTTACATTTGTGAAGAAAAAAAATACATATTAGTACTATTATTATGGTTGAGTAAGCCATTAAAGGGTTAATCATTCAGCCCACTTCTGTTGGTTGTCTTATCTGGAGGATCTTTAAATAAACCACATCATATTTTATTATTACTTGTATTTTACTGGCCTGAACTGTCACTTTGCTGATGAAATGCAGATCTGTCTCAGTCTCCATCAGACGTTCAATCATAACGTCTGTTTCTACCTCCAAACGTGACTAAAACTATCTATGTGCATTTGGCTTTTGTCACTACCGTTTATCTCCGCACAGTCTCTTTCACAAATCACCAGCGTTGACGTTTGATACAGACTCTTGTGGAAATAAAGTTTGAGGTTGTGTAACTTTTTGCCTTATTTTTTGTATCCTACTTGACATTTTTTCATGGCATAAGGAATGACAGTGGCTAAGCTCCCTTGACTTCTATCCTCCTTTGCAGATATCCATTTAGCTTAATGTCGTGTGTCCAGCGAGAACGTGTCAAAGAAACAGTTTCATGAAGATGCACTCGAATGTGGGTCATGCTCACATTATTTACTGTAACATCTGTGTTCATTCATTTGGCATATATAAAAAAAAAAAAAACATTGAAATGAATATATGACAAATACTGGTTAAAATAGAAATAAATTGTGACAACACTTTTTTAAGGTATGAGGAGTTAATGGAGTCATGTTGGACCTAGAGTCTGTAATAAAGTTGAACTGAATGGATTTTGTCATATAAGACTTTATTATACACGCTCCTCACAGCAGCAGGAGAACCATTGATCTGAATGTCATTTCAAAACGTTCTACCAGTGAATTCTTGATAACTGACTTCTCAAAACAATAATGACCGCTGCCCTTTGGCAACGCACTCTCTGCTTGTAATTCAGATGTGTAGGTTACTCCGCAAGTAGTTCTGGCCACTTCGTCGATACTTCTGTCTCTGCGGGAGAAGCTATCGGAGCTAGCCACGCTCAATCAACGCAAATACCAATCAATCCACACATTTAAATGTTAATCGGAGAATACATTATACAGATACATTCTTAACACACGTGCACGGAGGTTTTCAGAAGTATCTTAAGGTTTTCATGACAAAAATATTGTTTTAATGCGAGAAAAAGCGATTGCGAATAACCCAGAAGTAGTTTCCGGGACATTTTAGGAATATTTGCAGAGGATGGAATTATGGATTTCGGTTAAGTTTATGTTTGGGTCACTCACCGCTGATGTTCAGTTTTCATGCAGTTCCAGAGGGTTCTAGTTTGGAAGTTACTAGCCTAACCCTTTCGTGGGTTTCGTAGGAACTTCTCTACTGAGACCGCCACACTCCACCTGACTGAACAAATAAGATCAAGTCTGGACAAAGGTGGAGTTGTTGGAGCAGTCTTTTTAGACTTACGCAAGGCTTTTGATTTAGTTAATCATAACATACCCATCCATCCATCCATTTTCTTCCCCTTAATCAATTTCTGGGTCGGGGGGGTGGCAGTCAGAGCTGCACCCAGTGCACAGAGCACCAGCCCCTCACTGATCCTTCTGCAGGTGGTGAGTCCACAGGAGCTGAGATCTTTCAGTGGGGGCTTCAGGCAAAGTGGGGTTAAGTGTCTTGCCCAAGGACACAACGGCAGCAGACATCAGCGGGAGTCATCATAACATACTCCTATCTAAATTGTCAGTTTTTGGTTTCTCTGGCAAAACTCTACCATGGGAGTACCCCAAGGGTCTGTACTTGGCCCCTTACTTTTCAGCCTTTATATGAATGACCTGCCACATCACTGCCTGGGTTTACAAATTCAACTATACGCAGATGATACCGTAATATATACCTATGCCAGCACCAGTCACCTTGCGGCCGAAAAACTCTCCAGAGCCCTTGAGGCTGTGGCTCAAAGGCTTGATCAATCCTGTCTTTGCCTTAACATTAGTAAAACAAAGGCCATGTTTTTTCGAAAAACCAAAGCACAAAATACAAACTCTGACATTTACATTAGGAACCAGAAGATTGAAAATGTTGCTGAATACAGATCTTGGGGTTACTCTAGACGCTAACTTGAATTTCAAAAAACACGTTAAAAACATGAGAACAAGAACTCTCAAATTCAACCTTGCCAATTTCAGACATATTAGACCCTGTCTCTCCCTTGAGGCAGCTAGAACATTTATGCCTGCGCTTATTTTCTCGCATTTATCGTACTGTATCACATGTTGGGGGCAGGCTGGTGAATCAGTAGTGAGACCTCTTGAGTCAGTGCATAAACAGGCACTAAAAATCTTAGACAAAAAGCCTCTGAGGCACCATCACTGTAATATCTTAGTAAAATATAATTTTTTGAGTCTTGAAAACTTCAGACGCTTTTCTAACCTGTGTCTCGTTTTCAAAGTTCTAAATGGCCTGGCTCCTGACTGTTTAAAATCATTTGTGAACTATAGGGCAATACACTCAATTAGATCCACGAGAATAGCCTCGGTGCGCGATTGTATGATCCCCTTCCGTCGCTCTGCGTTTGGTCTCCCCGCCTTCTCTGTGAAGGCCTCTACGCAGTGGAATGCTCTTCCTAACTCTATTAAGTCATGTGCTACACTGGAAGGCTTTAAGATGGAACTGAAAAGACACTTAAAGAGTGAGCAAAGATGTGATCATTATCCATAGGCCCAAAGGTACTGACGCTGTGTTTGTGTGCGTGTGTAACTGTGTGTAATTGTGCGCTTGTGTGTGGGAATACGTCTTTGATTGTGCGTTTGTGCGTCTGCTCTGTGTGTATCTGCTGACTGTATACAAATGTGTGTTTTATGGTATGTGCTTGTGTTATTTTATACCCACCTGTATGTGTAGTGTTCTTCCTGCCGGGGGACTACGGATGCAAATTAGCCTAAGGCTAACTCCGGTACAATGCATCAAATGGAGGCATTTATGTTCTAATTGTACACTGTCCCTTTTTAAATAAATAAATACATACAAATACTTACTGTTACTAGCCTAACTGTTACTAGCCTAACTGTTACTAGCCTAACTGTTACTGGCACAGCCATGGGAAAGCCTTTGGGAACTATTTTATTTGCAGTCATTAAATAAATCTTTCGGCATTAATTACATAATACATGTTTATTCTTTGCTCTAGGTGACATTCATGAAGAGGAAGTTTGGTCTGATGAAGAAGGCGTACGAGTTGAGCGTCCTCTGTGACTGTGAGATCGCTCTGATCATCTTCAACAGCTCCAACAAGCTCTTCCAGTACGCCAGCACGGACATGGATAAAGTCCTGCTCAAATACACAGAGTACAACGAGCCGCACGAGAGCAGGACCAACTCCGACATCGTGGAGGTAAACCCGCCCCCGCCCCCGCCCCCAGGCCTGTGTCAATGTTTACCATCCGCCTCCAAAAGGATCGTGCCGAGATTATCCAAAGGCAGCAGCGTGAAGTCTTTGTGTCTCGCTCCACACAAAGATGGGAGCAGGCCATCTACAGGAGGCACAGACCTATTGTACATGTTTTTAGTGGTATAGGGAAACTGGAGCACCCGGAGGAAACCTGTGCAGTCAACTTACACATCCATCCATCATCCATCCTCTTCCCCTTAATCCATTTCTGGGTCGGGGGGTGGCAGTCAGAGTTGCACCCAGTCCACAGAGCACCAGCCCCTCACTGATCCTCCTGCAGGTGCTGAGTCCACAGGAGCTGAGATCTTTCAGTGGGGGCTTCAGGCAAAGTGGGGTTAAGTGTCTTGCCCAAGGACACAACGACAGCAGTCATCAGTGGGAGTCGTAAAGTAGGTCTTACGGTGGGCTTGAACCCACAACCTTCAGGCCCAAAGGCCAATGCTCTACCAACTGAGCTACTGTCGCCCTTGTCAACTTACGCAATCAACTACTAACAGCATTGACTGACAGCCGCTTTTGATGATTTCACTGATTCTCAAGACCCACAGAATATTATCTCCTAAGCCTATGTGAAATATGAAACCAGATTCTGAAAGACTGCATTGTCAACTTTGATCAGAAAAATAAGTTTGTTTCTAGCTATTTTTATCATCCTGTAATCCCCAGTGGAATAGAGGGTCTCAGACAAATACGTCAATGGCAGTTAATGAGTTAATCACATATAATCTATGGTGGTTTTTTTTAGATCAGATTCATGTTATTTGCCATTTGCAGTAAAACCACATTGGAATAAGTAAGTAAGTAAGTAAGTAATCTTTATTTATATACCGCCTTTTCACTGCACATCGGAGTCTCAAAGCGGTTTACAATTGTTATTTTTGGGAGTGGGGGTACCAGTACAGGAGGCACATGCCAGACCTATTGTACATATTTTTAGTGATAGGGGAAACCGGAGCACCCGGAGGAAACCTACGCAGACACGGGGAGAACATGCAAACTCCACTCAGGAGAAATGCAGGTGTAGCAGCAAAAATACAAAATAAAATGTATCATTCAAAAAAGCAGCAGAGGTGGCCTCTGGGTGGAGCAGGACGGGTCACAGCAGCAGAGGTGGAGTAGCCTCTGGGTGGAGCAGGACGGGTCACAGCAGCAGAGGTGGAGAAGCCTCTGGGTGGAGCAGGACGGGTCACAGCAGCAGAGGTGGAGTAGCCTCTGGGTGGAGCAGGACGGGTCACAGCAGCAGAGGTGGAGAAGTCTCTGGGTGGAGCAGGACGGGTCACAGCAGCAGAGGTGGAGTAGCCTCTGGGTGGAGCAGGACGGGTCACAGCAGCAGAGGTGGAGTAGCCTCTGGGTGGAGCAGGACAGGTCACAGCAGCAGAGGTGGAGTAGCCTCTGGGTGGAGCAGGACGGGTCACAGCAGCAGAGGTGGAGAAGCCTCTGGGTGGAGCAGGACGGGTCACAGCAGCAGAGGTGGAGTAGCCTCTGGGTGGAGCAGGACGGGTCACAGCAGCAGAGGTGGAGAAGTCTCTGGGTGGAGCAGGACGGGTCACAGCAGCAGAGGTGGAGTAGCCTCTGGGTGGAGCAGGACAGGTCACAGCAGCAGAGGTGGAGTAGCCTCTGGGTGGAGCAGGACGGGTCACAGCAGCAGAGGTGGAGAAGCCTCTTGGTGGAGCAGGACGGGTCACAGCAGCAGAGGTGGAGTAGCCTCTGGGTGGAGCAGGACGGGTCACAGCAGCAGAGGTGGAGAAGTCTCTGGGTGGAGCAGGACGGGTCACAGCAGCAGAGGTGGAGAAGCCTCTGGGTGGAGCAGGACGGGTCACAGCAGCAGAGGTGGAGTAGCCTCTGGGTGGAGCAGGACGGGTCACAGCAGCAGAGGTCGAGTAGCCTCTGGGTGGAGCAGGACAGGTCACAGCAGCAGAGGTGGAGTAGCCTCTGGGTGGAGCAGGACGGGTCACAGCAGCAGAGGTGGAGTAGCCTCTGGGTGGAGCAGGACAGGTCACAGCAGCAGAGGTGGAGTAGCCTCTGGGTGGAGCAGGACGGGTCACAGCAGCAGAGGTGGAGAAGCCTCTGGGTGGAGCAGGACGGGTCACAGCAGCAGAGGTGGAGTAGCCTCTGGGTGGAGCAGGACGGGTCACAGCAGCAGAGGTGGAGAAGTCTCTGGGTGGAGCAGGACGGGTCACAGCAGCAGAGGTGGAGTAGCCTCTGGGTGGAGCAGGACGGGTCACAGCAGCAGAGGTGGAGTAGCCTCTGGGTGGAGCAGGACGGGTCACAGCAGCAGAGGTCGAGTAGCCTCTGGGTGGAGCAGGACAGGTCACAGCAGCAGAGGTGGAGAAGCCTCTGGGTGGAGCAGGACGGGTCACAGCAGCAGAGGTGGAGAAGCCTCTGGGTGGAGCAGGACGGGTCACAGCAGCAGAGGTGGAGTAGCCTCTGGGTGGAGCAGGACGGGTCACAGCAGCAGAGGTGGAGTAGCCTCTGGGTGGAGCAGGACGGGTCACAGCAGCAGAGGTGGAGTAGCCTCTGGGTGGAGCAGGACAGGTCACAGCAGCAGAGGTGGAGTAGTCTCTGGTCCAAAGTAAAATGCTAAATGGTTCATTAGCATTTTCAAAAAGTTAGCATTCCTCCAGTGGATTTTCTTTTGCCAAGTAACTGTAGAACAACATAAATGATGAGAAGTTCACAGAGGTCAAATCAAAATGTATGATCTGTCAATCACACTCACTTATAATATTTGTGTTTAAATATCTCATATAATAAACACTGAAGATTAAGAACAGTCACTTTTTCAACATTACAACATGGGAAAGGTGCGGCTTGTATTCCGGTGCGGCTTATACAAATACAACATTCAATTTCTTTCTAGAAAATTAGAGCCTGCGGTTTATAGTCCGGCAAATATGTTCTGACTGTCTTAAAACACGATCTGCCAATGCCACAAAGCCATTTAGTGTTATTTCAAAACCTGTTGCTTCATTTCCTCATTCCAAGGAAGACATTTATTGTATATTTTTTAAACAAGATCATTTGTCCTGTCCCAATCTCATTTTAAGGCTCAGTCAAAATGTGCTCGAATGAAATACATTTTGCCACATTTGAGCCATTTTTGACTATTTTTTGCAGTGTATCAATTATTGCATTATTTTTTTTTTGTATCATTATAGAAATTCAAAACCCAGAGAAGTCTCCAAAAATACTTCCAGTAAATTTTGTAATCTATTGAAAGTCAAAACGGGGCGACAGTAGCTCAGTTGGTAGAGCATTGGCCTTTGGGCCTGAAGGTTGTGGGTTCAAGCCCACCATAAGACCTACTTCACGACTCCCACTGATGACTGCTGTCGTTGTGTCCTTGGGCAAGACACTTAACCCCACTTTGCCTGAAGCTCCCACTGAAAGATCTCAGCTCCTGTGGACTCACCACCTGCAGGAGGATCAGTGAGGGGCTGGTGCTCTGACTGCCACCCCCTGACATAGAAATGGATTAAGGGGAAGAAAATGGATGGATGAAAGTCAAAACTTAAAACTAGCTTTCATTGAAACTCTCCACTAGCACACAAACAGTTGCATTACCCTGCGTCTTTAGTCCTGCGATACCTGCCGATACTCGAGATCGTAGCTGACCACAGAATAACACGCTGTTCCAGGCCTAGTCCTTCGTATCCTCGATGGCAGTTTGGTTCTTGTTGACTGTGTGAAAATCCCCGGCTTCCTCTCCCACCGCACACACATTAATGACTGAATAACAAACACAAAAGGAGAGAGTCCGTCGCGGTTGTTGTCTTAGCTGAGCCGCCTGATTTGAGTCTGGCCTTTTCTCACCGGCACAGGACAGACCACAGACACCTGAGTCACCAGAGCATGACGGAGGTGATTTTCTTACTAAGATATGTATTTGCTTGTTCACGCAGTTGTCACGCAGGTGGACAAGCAGCTTCAAACAAAACCTGGACAGATTTTTACATGTGGGTCCGTTTATTTGCAACATTAGTGCTGGATCTTTGACTGTTTGTAAAGTGTGTTGATATTCATGCAAAAGCTTCTGTGAGTCTGTTTTTTCATGGTAAGACTATGATTTTGTGCCTACACCATAAAGTCACAGCGTTCCACAGATAAATCTATAGATAGATCCGATCCGATCCACTTTATCTATATAGCTATATCTTTATAGTCTCCAAAGTGCTGCAAAGAAATAAAATAAACACATTTAAATATACAGGTTTGCCAAAAAAAAGATTATATATAAATAAATGGGGAAAGTGAAACATTATTTAAGCAGTAAAAACAATTAAATGTAATAAAAACAATAGATTACCTGTTATCCAAACACAGGACCAGACAACTCACACGGTCTTACAGCAAAAGCCAGAGTGAAAATGCGTTCCACAGCTTTGGTCCAGCCACAGAGAAGGCCCCGACCCCGGGTCCTAAGTCTGGTCTTTGGCTGGAGCTGGCCCTCGGACCTGAGCACGCGGGGCGGGTGGTACATTAGGATGAGGTCCGAGATGTAAGAAGGGGCCAGTCCACTCAAAGCTTTAAAAAACAAGTAATAATATCTTAAAATAAATTCTAAAATTAACAGTAAACTAGTGCAAAGAAGCTAAAATCGGGGAAATGTGCTCATGTTTTTTTGGTTCCTGTTACAGTAAAAGAATGAAAGTGCTTTTTGTGAAATTCCAGTGTAAAATGCATTACAGATAGATGGATAGATAGATATACAGATAGATAGATAGATACACAGATAGATAGATAGATAGATATACAGATAGATAGATATACAGATAGATAGATAGATACACAGATAGATAGATACACAGATAGATAGATACACAGATAGATAGATAGATACACAGATAGATAGATAGATAGATACACAGATAGATAGATAGATACACAGATAGATATACAGATACACAGATAGATAGATAGATATACAGATAGATAGATAGATA